GATCTTAATAGTGATCATGATTTTTTTAATTTTAAGAATCTATTTTTTCTAATAAATATATGAGACCTTATTTTCTTGGAGACACAGGCTTCTAAGATCTAGGATGTTTGTGCTCCCTGCATTATTGATTGATTATTTAATTATCACAAAGACAACACTGTGGGATATTACAATACCCACTTTATATATGAGGAAATTGTACTTTGAAGAGGTTAAATAACTCTCTCAAGGTCCACAAAGTGGCTCTGTCATGGCCAGGATTTTAATTTAAATTGAGATCTGTCTGTTTCCAAGACTGCTGTACAATACTGGATGCTGGCCTCCAATTCTTCATAATTGTTATATGCATCAGGACACCCACTAGATCCATGAAGGCCAGGATTTTTCTTGGCCTTACTCTCTGCTGCATATCAGGTCCTGGCAGAATAAACTCAGAAGGACTATCTACTGAATGCATGAAAGGCACCATAGATTTAATAGACAGAATCATGGATCCGGTTTATCACAAGAATTAGGTAAAAGTCAGAAAATCCCAAGTAAGGAAAGAATTACAAGGTCTTCACCTCTATTCTCTCTTTTGTATTGTCTTGTTTTATGGCATAAGTCAGCCTGCTCATGATCCCCAGGCTGTCCCATCCCCTTGCATAGTTGGAGCCACATGTCTGAGTTTTAACCAGTGGAATATGGGGGGAATTGATGAATGCTACCTCCTGGACCTGAATATCAGCAAATATTTGTATTGTGCCTTAGCAAGCAATAAAGTTCATATCGGTTTATACAGTATTCCTGCATAGCCTGCAAATGCTGTTTCATTATCTTTTAGCCTTTAATGTTTTAGATGAGAGGCCCAATATTTTTCTCACAATTTTTCCATTTTGGTAACTTGTTCTTTCTTCTTGGAAGATTGTAATATATTCACATTGTCTTAGGAATTCAGAAATTTTACCAGAATACTGCCTGTGAGTGTTACTTGTCATCAGTCCTGCCTTGAACTTGATGAACTCCTTTAGAATGCAAATTCAGATCTGTCTTCAAATCAGGATACTTTCTCTCCCTACTATTTGTTAAGTAATTAATTATTTTCCCAATTCTTTTTTGAACTTCTGTTCTTCACATGTCACGTCTTTGGGATGCCTCTCCCCAAACTTCTTTCCCCCCATAGCATCTATCTTTATCTTTGCTCTGTGCTTTGAGATACATCTTCCACTTGCCTCCAGTGACCTTCAATCAGTCAGCCGAGATATTGAATTGGGAAATCATGTGGTTTGGCTCCATGTTTGTGGTGCACTTGAGTCCCTTTCAATGTCTTTGGGTTTAGACAGTCACTTGTTACACTCTAGCAAGTCATATTCACAGAAGGGGCTCTATAGGTTCTGACTTCTTTCCTCATCTAGTTGCCAGGACCACGTCACTGAGTTTTCTTTCCATTTTGTCTGCTCATTTATGTTCAGGTCTGGTTGTTGGAGTCTTCTAACTGGTGTCAGTCACACAGTAGTGTGGGGGAAATATTTTCTACTCCCAGGAGATTGTCAGTCACCTGTGAAGGCACCCAGAGGGCGCCTCCACATTCTAGCTAAAATAGGTTCTCATATTCTGCCACCTCAGGGTCAGAGAGGATGCAGCCTCCAGATCTAGCTCCTGCTTGGCCTCATAAGGACCAGAGAAACCAGATACCTTCAAGGCTGATGTCACCCTTTCCTCCAGGACCATATATCTCAGAACCAGAATTTTCTCAGGCTTCCCCAGGCTGTCTTTTCCTTATCACAGGGCAATCTCCTTTCCAGCTCTAACTCTGCTTCCTGAGGAAGAAAGCCCTCTGTCTAGTCTTCCCTCCTCAACTCAGCCTCATATCCCTCCCATCTAGCCCAAGAGAAGAAGGAGTTGGGGGTCAAGGAAAAGAGAGCTGCAATTAGGTGGTTATCTTCCCAGAATCCTTGCTCTTCTGTGTTCTTACAAATTGTCTTCTATTTTTAAGTGAAAGAAAAGAAAAAAATAGTCAAAGCAGGATTGAGATAAAATCATGTCATTTAAATAAGCAGAAAGAATCATGATCGTGATATAAGAGGGAAAAGCCCTTGGGCGCGTGGGTGGCTCAGTCCGTTAAGCATCTGCCTTCGGCTCAGGTCATGATCCCAGGGTCCTGGGGTTGAGTCCCGCGTCGGGCTCCCTGCTCACTGAGTCTGCTTCTCTCTCTCCCTCTGCCCCTCCCCACCCTGCTCATGTTCTCTCACACCCTCTCTCTCTCAAATAAATAAATAAAATCTTAAAAAAAAAAAGGAAAAAGCCCTGCACTGGAAACCAGACAACCTGTTGCTCATTGTCTTAGGGAATCTTGCAAGGGTCCTATCAGTGCTGCACCTCAATTCTCCCTTCTGTTAAATAAAGATGCTAGACCCTGCTATGAGCTGAATATGTGTATCCCCCCAAATTCATATGTCAAAGCTTAATCCCCAATGTGATAGGTAATTGGAGGTAGGGCTTTTGGGAGATGATTAGGTCATGAATGGGATTAGTGCCCCTATTAGAAGAGACACAAAAGAGATAATCTCTCTCAGCAGTGTGAGAACACAGCAAGAAGGTGGCCATCTACAAGCCAGGGAGGAGGTCCTCCACACACACCTGATTTGCTGACACCTTGATCTTGTACTTCCCAACCTTCAGAACTGTGAGAAATAAATGTTGTTTAAGCCACCAGTCTACGGTACTTTCGTTCTAGCAGCCTGAACTGACTACGCCAGAAATAGTCATTCCCAAGGCCTGACCCAACATGAAACCCTCTGTTAATTCCATGTAATGACTTATGGTCAAGGAAAGCATTAGAAGAAGGAGGAAGAGGAGGTGGAAGAGGAGGAAGAAGGAAAGAAGAAGGGCAGGAAGAGGAAGAGGGAGAAGGAGAAGAAGAAAGGAAGAAGAAGAAAAGAAGAAGGAGGAGGAGGAGGAAGAAGAAGAAGAAGGAGGAGGAGGAGGAGGAGAAGAAGAAAGAAGTTTTTGTAATAAATTGCAACATGGGTTTGAGAAGTGGTTATATCTTGTTAGCCTTGTAAATCACTTCTGAAGCAGCTTAAGTCCCTCACTGCTTCTTTATGCTGCAGCCAATGCCAGAGGATTACGGGATGTCAGCTACTCAGCATCGGTCATGCATTGAGCTTACTGGCCAAATCAAGAACGGAGAGAAAATGCTATTTCATTCAGCTAATTTGCTGGATTCAGAGACATAAAGTGTCAGAGAGGGAACTCCTTAGGCACCATCAAGTCAAGCTCAGTCTCCTGATTCATGTTCAACCTAGGTCCAAACTAACTCAGAAACTAAATGTGCCAAAGAACAAAAGTCAAAACAAACAGGGCCTGATAGTCTCAAAAACAGTGAAAGCTCAGTTCTTCCATTTGCCCAGCTGTTTTAAGAAACCACAACGGCAAACATCCACAAATACAAGTTATGACCTGGGGTTGTCAGTGCCTTAGATCCCACAGAATAAACAAGGAAGAAAGAGAACAGAGAGTCACAAGGATTAGGTCACTGGGCTCTGTGGTCCATGCGTCCCTCCCTAATGACCAGAAAGATGTGCAGAGACTGACCACAGAATGCACTTTCCATCCTGCCACGGTGATGTTAAGCCAGCCCAGCCTAGGCCCCTGGCTGGCCCCTAACAGGTGAATGAATGCATCACACTCATTCAGTTCAGGCATTAGAGTGTTAACTATTTCACCAACTGTCCTCCCTTTCCAAACTTGATCCTGACTTCCTTGGCTCCAAAGCTCCCATCTCTGTGGAACCAAACTCACCCCTCAAACTTCGTCCTCTAGAACTGGCCTCCAACTTACCTCCTCACACACATGCCCCAAGTTAACACCTGCTCTGAGAAACTCCCCAACAAACCTTCTACTTAAATGAGCCTGATCTCCGAGACTGCACCCTGGAATAAATCTGTCAAGGCAACAGTAAGCAGCAATAGTAAGGTTGTTCCTTAGACCTAGGTTAGTGTGGGCTTGGACAGTTGAAAGTGATTAGTACAGAGTGCAGTGCAATATTAGGAAAACAGTTTGTGACCAGCTCGTGAAGAGCCTTGAATGCTAAGATGTTGCATTTTATCCTAATGACACTGGGAGCTTTTAAAGGTTTTTGAGAAGAAAGAACCCTTTCATCAGATCTGTCTGTACTTGTGCAAGACCACCCTCGAAGCAATGTGGAGAATGGATATGAGTGAGGCCAGAGAAGCAAGATCAATTCACAGGGTAGAAGAGTCCACAAGTGAAAGCTGCAATAGGCCACAGCAGGGAGGATGGAGAAAAGGGAGCAAAATACAAATAGAATAAAAGAAGGGAATTTGATAGTTAAAAATTTTGAGATGATTTGAAAAGAAGAGAGAGAGAGAGGAGCCTAGGATGGTATATATAGTATGTTTTCTCATGTTCTTCCCTCACCCCCACAAATTCAAGTCCACCCAGAACCTCAGAATGTTACCTCATTTGGAAATAGGGTTTTTGCAGATGTTATTAGTTAAGGATCCCAAGATGACATCATAATGAACTTTGGGTGGGCCCTAAATCTAATGATAATAATCCTTACAACAAGAAGAGAGGTTACAGAGACAGAGAGAAGGCCACTTGAAGACAGAGACAGGCAGAGACTGGAGTGATGTGGCCACAAGCCAATGAATGTCAAGGGCCCCCAGAAGCTAGGAATAGGCAAGGAAGGGTCATTCTCCAGAAGGAGCATGGCCTTTCTGACTCCTTGATTTCAAACTTCCAGCCTCAAGAACTGTGAGAGAGAGTTTCTGTTGTGTTAAACTACCCACTTTGTGGTCCTATGCTATGGCAGCACTAGGAAATCAACAGAGTAGGGAAGCAAGAAGGAGCGACAGGTGTGAGAAAGTTGGCTTCAGCAATAGCTGGGAGCAGGCAGGGGAAATAAAAATAGCTAACAGAGTACTTACTGCTTGTGAAATATCACATTAAGACTTTCACAAGGTGAGTGTCGTTTAATTTGTACAATAGCCCGATTAGATCACTATTGTTATTACCCCTTTTTTCTGGATGAAGTAAGAATTCATTAATTAACTCAAGGTTACATGAGCAGTAACCCAATTCAATATTTGAGCCTGTCTGACTCCCAATCTCATGTTATACTTCCAGACATATGAAGGAGGCAGAGATGGGGTTAATATGATTGTATCAGTGAGTCCCTGAAGAAGGATCATGAGATATTAAATCCAAGAGATGTTTTCAGAACATGTTGTTAAACAAAAAGCTTTGGAACAAACACAGGCACTCAGTTTACTTTAAAAAGATGTCAAGAGTTGGCTAACAAGCTGCCTCGGGTCATTCTTTCTCACCCAAAGCACACAGCCTCCTTTCTGCAAAAGCTCGTTTTTCTTTTTCTCCTTGATCTGTGTTAGGGTTCTCTTGTTCCACTGTAGTTTGTCTGCATTGAAATTAATATACAAACCACTCAACTGCTTGATACTCATACAAGGGTCCCTACGCTGCTGCTTGTCAACTTCAGAAGTTTAGACTTTGTGCTATTTAGTAAGTCGTCTTCATCACTAAACTCACTATCTTTGTTTCTGTCATGGTCTGATGGTTCTTCACTTTTTTCATCCTCTTCCTCCTCTTTTTCTTCCTCAATGGCAACCTCACTTGCCTTGTCTCCCTCATCCAAGTAAAAATGTTTATCAGTACTCAATCCAGGAGTTGTGTCAATTACAAACAATGCATTGTCACATGACATATTTCCTCATTCTCCATTTAATGATTCCTTTTGACCATTATTTTCAACAAAACACAGAGTGTCCTCTTCATTCTCACTATTTTCAGACTGCTGGCTTTCATCACTGATGAGAACTAATAAAACAGAATCACCTTTGTCCAGGGATGTATGGGGCTCAGACTTGAATAGTTTGGTTTCACACTCAAAATCCACATCCCTTCCTTCATTCCTGTCTTCACTGATACCTGTAACAGTACACTCTTCTTCATCACTACCACTATCACCAAATTCTGTCAAGTCACTTGTTTTTATGGTGCTCTTTCTCTCTTCATTCCATCTGTCCACTTCTACCACTGCAAATGATTGAGCTAATGATTTCATTATAGCCTCACAGTTCAGATGTGAGGGCTCTGATGTGGTCTCATTATTTTGGGGGGTTGAATGCCTTTGAGAAACTAACCGCTGAATGCCAGTGTCCTGAGGTTCGGAAAGGCTCTCCAACTGAGAATTTTTCTTATTTATTTCTTTTTCCTCATCTACTATTCCCTTGGTTTCTTCATCTAAATTCTTACTATCCTGCTTTGTTATTTCTTTGAGAGGTGCAACATTGGCCTTTTTCTCCTCTCATATTAAAACGTTGGCATTTTTGCACTGTTCGGTTTTCTTTTTTTTTTCCTGAATTTCTGTGGAAGGAATCATCATCGAAGTCATTATGAATTTCATTATAGAAATTTGGCTTATTTATCTGAGGAAGAGATCTTACCAGTAAACAAGTTGTTTG